CCTTGCAGCCCACAAACTGTTTTGTAATGCAGAACTGTTGCGTAATATACCTGTAAATATAGATGCTCTTTCCTTTTTTTAACCTTAACAATAAAATTCTAAAAGGAGCAGCGACTAGTTTCGATTTTAGCAAATAATACGTTTAAATTTAAACATTACCACAAAATGTCGTTATTCTTTAACCTCCATTTATGTTGTTGCAGACTGCAGCTCAGAAGACCGTCTCACTACAGAGTCCATTTTAAACCTGCTGTGAAGCTTTTGCTGAATGAACTTAACATAATTTCAGATAATGTCCGATGTTATTAAATCATTCAGTAACGTGTCACGAGACTGTTAAGATGGGTGTGACATAAAACACCCTCATTTAATCATCTAAACAAACCAGAGGAGAGCCACACAAACAGTTGTTTTTGGTTGTATTTGCTCTGAAGACGTTTTTTTTTTTTTTTTGTCAGTGCAGCTCTTTCACATGCTCTCTAACACCTACTTTCAAGCTGTCACCGATCATTTTTCTTCTTCGTCTTTTGTCTGACACATACATCTCCTCGCTGTCACACAGATTCAGTTACAGACACACGTCACCGCTCGCGCACTCAAGCAGTCACGGTCAAGGGTTTACTTTACGTTTTGTTGGGATTTCACAGCGTCTAGTCTGTCAAAAAGACGTCATCTGAAACGCATTAAAGAACATTAAAAGATGGCCCTTTTCATTTCCAGCTTCCATCCCGGTTGTGTTGAATAGTCACACAGCTGTGCATGTTCAGAGAGCGGAAGCTTCTCAGGTCTTGAAAAACGGCTAAAAAAAAGTTTTACGTCATACTAGTCCGACTACGTTTTAATCCTGTAACTGAGCTTTGTTGTATTTCAATCTGCTCATCTTCTGTTTCCATTATGTCGGCGTGACACATCCACACACGGCGTATGAATGAAGCTAAGACCTCTAACAGCTGGTGATGTAGAGGTCTGTGTGAGGTGGCCTGCTCTCATGCTTTAGACAGGGAATATCTCTGAGGAGGGATCTATGAAACTACAGCGCTTCAGCATAAATCTAGTGAAGGCAATATTCTAACCTAGGAGAAGTCATAGCTGTAGGAAGTGTAGTTAAATCAGAGCGCGCACAAGAGTTTAATTATTATGTTATGTGAACTATAACTTCATTTTATATGGCATTTAGTGATAGTTTGCTGCTCGATGACACATCCTATCATTTAAATATGTGATTATTGCATGAAGAAAGCAACTTTTCCACAATGATTTGACTCAGTACACGACCTAGAGACTGGATCTGAACTATAACGTACAAGTATTTACTAAGTCCATTGATAAAGCTGCTATTCACTACTTGTATATAACCTGTTTTATGTAGTTTCCACAAGAAACAACTCACATCAGTTGATTTTAATACACTTCAGGTAGCTGCATCTTGCACAGTTTATAGGGCTCTGCTGAAAATTAGTATCTTTTAAAGTCTTTATTCAAGGGCTACCCCTATAGCACACCTAATTAAGCGGGCGACCCATGAACAGGGGCTATAGTTCCTTGATGCAGCGTTCGTGGGTTCGACTCCCACTCATGACCATTTGCTGCAGGTCTCTCCCCATTCTTCCTCCCCCCTTTCCTGTCTCTCTCTACTGCTCTAAATAAAGGTAAAAGCCCAAAAAAATAAGATTTTTAAAAAAGTCTTGATTTAGGAGAAAGAAAGCATTGACATCAAAGTCACAAATCACGTGTCCGTCATCTAAAACTACTTCACTGGGAAATAACTTTTGTTTACTCTGCATGTGTGCAGACTTTAGGTTCTCGTTTTTTGATGCTATTCAAAGTACATCTACAAGAGAGCCCTTGCTCAAAGCAAATTGTACGGTCTCTGTCTAAAATATTGTAAGTTTCATGACTTTAACGTTTAGGTAAGATGAGTATAGGCTCGGTGGTTAGCATCGTTGCCTCGCATTAGAAGGTCGCCGGTTCGTGTCCCGGTGTGGACACCTGGAATCTTTCTGCGTGGAGTCTCCATGTTCTCCCCGTGCAGTGTGGGTTCTCTCCGGGTTCTCCAGCTTCCTCCCACACAGTCCAAAAACATGCTGAGGTTAACTGGTGATTCTAAATTGTCCGTAGGTGTGAATGTGAGTGTGCTTGGTTGTCTGTCTCTAAGTGTAGCCCTGTGATAGACTGGTGACCTGTCCAGGTGAACCTGCCTTCACCCTGAGTCAGTCCCTAGTGAGGATTAAGCGGTGTATAGATGATGGATGGATGGAGTATTTGTATGTTTTACTTCTTTTAGCCATGTAAATGCTTGTCCTTTGTCTATATAACAGTTCCTCTGGGTTACTGACTACTGTGCATATTCTGAAACAATAATCATGCAGCTTTAATTTTTGGTTGGTTTAAATGTGCTAAATAAGTAAAACTGATACGACTTGACTGATAATATCCAAATCAGCCTCTCCTGCTGCTCAGCTGTACTTCCCTCTGGTATCACTGACACAGACCTCTTTCTTCCTCTTCCTCCCAGACAACTGGCACTGAAAGCCCTGAACGAGCGTCTAAAGCGGGTGGAGGACCAGTCCGCTTGGCCCAGCATGGACGACGAGGAAGACGACGACGAGGACGAAGTCAGGACCGACACGCAGCCGCTGCTCCCGGGCGGGCGCGACCCGTCCTCCTCCTCCTCCTCCACGCCGAGAACAGCCGGGGGTCCCATCGGCGCCTCCCTCTCCTCCACCTCCTCGTCCTCCATGTCGCAGAGCAGCGGAGCGCCGTCCTCAGGCGGAGTCCAGCACCCAGAGTCCAGCATCATCAGCTTCGAGGACGCGCCGTCTCGATCATAGCGAACAGGACGCACATGTACAGACATGCACGCTCTGTTTGGAGTCACTGGCGAGTATACTAGCGTATTCGGTGTCCCTGACTAGTATACGAATATATTCAGTGGCGGCGATCAGGCGTACACTCACACACAACACGCAACATCTTCGAGCAGTTCATACACACGACCGTGCACTCACAAACACTAACGTCATTGTGAAGCCCCAGAGACTGTACAGTGCTTTCAGCCGAGACGTGGGTTGTACAGGCTCAGTGGAGTTGGGCAAACTGAACTCTTAATTCTTCTCTTCCTTCCTGCATACAACCAAAAGTCAGAAAATTCTGTCTTGTCTGGACTTAATCCCAACTTGCAGAGCTCTGTTCACTGCTTCATGTGTCTCTTTCTCCTGCTTTCTGAATAAATAACAACATGGGTGTACAATATTCTTTTTGTAAGCCTTCTTGGGAGCAGCCATGCTTGTTCTTTTTTTATTGCCTGCCACGAGAAAGCGACAGAGACTCGCGCTGAATTCTTGATCCCTGACGGAGGAATGCAGCGCGCCGGCTTGATGAGCGCCGAGAAATGGCTGCAAGTGACTTTAGCTTTTAGTTCACTGGTTCCGAATATGAAACCAGGCGCGTAACGGAGGAGACGCATGGACTCAGCACCGACTGCTGGACCTGAGGAAAGAAGCTGCTGCAGGTCTGTCCTGCTGATGAACTATGATACCAAACTTCATGGTCTGAAGAAGTGCCGGGTGGAAAGAGATTTCCAGACCAGGGCGTCTCTCTGAGAAAGAGAGAAATGGACGATGTACCCGTTTTGTTTTTTACTCCCTAGTTTGTCATGCAGTGGAGGAAAAAAATCTTCTTTTGTTTGGGGTGTGTTGATCACTAAACGGAATCAACAAAACAAAAACTTTCTTTCTGTGGACTAACAGGACATGTCGACGGTGTTCCACTCACACAGATCTGTGGATCTTGTTTTACGATTTGTTTTCATTTTTAGGGTAATTCTGGTCAAAATCCCGAGCGTCATCCCCATACCTTTTTTTTTTTTTTTTTACATTTCCACCTTGTAGGATCTGAACATGTGTGCGAGAATTATGCTAGCAGCAGCTTTCTAGTAGTCTGGGTGCAGATGATGCAGAGTAGCGGTCTGTGCTTGTGTTAGTCATTTATACGATTATAAATGCAGAGAAGTGACCAAGTGCAGGTGAAGGCTTGATGATAGCCTTGCTGGGTATTTACAGACTGTGCAGGTATTGTTAGGATAAAAATATCCAAGTGATTCACGAGTTACGGAGTTTTTCTAGCTTTGCTCTGCTTTCAGACACACAGACAGAGGGGGATCATTTCTAAAATCACAGCCCCGGGCACGTGTGGGGAGTTTTCGAGGGAGCTTGATGGGCAGTTAAATTGTGATAAACAGAACTAAAGGTCAGTAATTCATTTATTTTGCTGACGGCCGTCCCTGTAGGTGTCTCATTCTATTCTATCAAATCAGCGCATTCTCAATTCCCCACCTGTCCTTTCTCATTAAAGTCATTTGCAGCTGATGAATTATTTCAGATGTTGGCGATCGCAGGGATGAAAAACTTCTCCTGAGCTTCTGGTCGCAAGGTTGAAAATGAGATTTAAACTAGTTGAGAAGGTGAACGAGGCACTTCAGTTACTTCAGTCTGTCTGAAAAACAGGTCTGTTAAGTTAGACCACAAATCGCTGCAGGTCTGACAGGCCTCGTGGGTTTCCTGTGTCATTATTTCATAAGACACCTGTAAGATGATGAGCAGCTGCTTTTACACGTGTCTGGAGAAACTCTGGTACACAAAATGACTGCACCTTTACATGTTTAATCCCAAGTTCTAAGGTTCTTTTTGTCATGTGAGGAACAATTTGGCAGTAAAATGTAAATCTTCTGTCTGTCTGGCGATAGTGAGAGGCTGTGAGTTGCCTAAAAAAATCAAAGAAACATCCGACAGAAATATCCAGCATCGAAAATACTGTTTAAATAGAGATTTGTTTTCCAGATTTGGTGTGACAGTTTACAGAAAATCTGAGCTCCTGACAAACCGAATTCACTTCCCCTTGAATGTAAAATGTCTTCTGGAAACAGTCTGGAGATGATCCAAGTTGGTTCACACATGTTCTATTGTAGTTCAGAGGGAGGACATTGTAAGACTGGGCTCGCTGGTGACATGAAACTGCTTCTTCCTCTTATGGAAATGTGTTCTGAATGGGAAGTGATAAGCCATATTAGAATGACGAAACTCTGTGTGTTCTATCCTGTATTTCCTTCTGTCCATTTCACTGTGCTCATGTTTTCTTCACGATGTGTTCATGTCGGTTGATTTTCTTTACGTCAATGAAGGCTGTTTGTTTACATGAATGAATGAGAGATGGTGTCTTTCATACCGGTCCGGTTTTCAGAGTGGAGAAGGCTGAGCTGCAGTTAAATATCTGAAATCTCAAAGTGCTCACCATCAAAAGTTATCACACAACTAATCAGGCAAAGGAAATTTGTACAAAAACATAACTGCAGTTACAGTTTTCTGGTGTCGTTTTCACACCGTTTATGTGCAATTTGAGCGTTTGAGGAGCTCACAATAGAAATCAGCAATGCAGCAAAACACATTGTAACGTGGACGCCTGCAGATCATTGTTGTGCTGAAGTTGTGTAAATTTATGAGTGAGAAGGTGCACAAACTAACCAACACTGTAGTCCAGCCACATCTCCACCTTTGACTTTGTTCTCCTGATCCTCTGTGTTCCTGTTTGTTCTGTCTTTAAACATCCTGTGAGAGACGAGAGTAACGCAGTCTGTATGAATAACGCCCGCCGCTGTAGACAAACTAGAAAAGCTGCAGGTGGGGGATGAAGAATGATGTCAGTGCTGTTTCACAAACGGTGGTTATTAAACTGCAGCGGCCTCAGTCTGCAGGGACTGAACTCTGTCGGCTGGCGTCGCAACATACTCGGTTTGTTTTCTTTTTCTTGCAGCAGAGGCATGCAGACTTCATAAGACAGGTTTCACCCAAACGATGCATTTTCCTTATTTATTTGTCAGAGTGGCTGATAGAGAAGACAAATGACAAAAAAAAAACGTGTGTGTGTGTAGCTGGGATTCATGCAAATCTTCCTTTAAACCTGGTTTTTAATACAACCAGGCATTGAAACGTAAAGTAAAAACTTGTTCATTTGCTGGTTTTAATTGCATTTGTTACGGGATATGGGTACAATTATTACATGATTAAATATTGAGGTACAAATTGATGACTAACTGGAGAAACACTTCGGTTTCAGAAGCTGTAACTCAATTATTAAACTTATTTTCTCCTCTAACCTCCTAATTTTGCAGTACAGGAGTATTTGTGGTGCCAAAGTCAAGACTGTAGCTGCACATCAGCATGAAGTCAAACTCATTGTTAATTGGTTGGACTACCAGCTACCAGTGCATTTAATAAGATTGTCAAACCTTTCAGCCACTTTGCCAAACTGCATATTACCCGAGAAATGTCATAAAAGTGACATTAGAACAACACCAGCCTCCATGACTTGCAGATCAAAGCTGTTTCCTCCAGATGAACCGTTTCTAGACGACACTGCTCCGTTCGTTCTGAGGCGGTCGCTCTTGACGGTTGGTTTTCTTTTTGGTAGTTTTCACTGCTCTTGTTTTCCTTCTCTACTTTGGCTCCGACACACTAATGACAGTCTCTTTCTCTCTCTGTACTGTGGCTGTTTGCACAGACTTTTGTTTTAGTTTTCAAATGCATTTCTTTATCTCTATATGAAAATAAAATTCAAAAAAAAAAAAAAAGAAAGACGATTGTATGAAGTTTCAGTTGTTGTGTTTTTGTGTCTGACTGAATCATCTGAAGAGATAATATGTGCTCCCAGATCCTGCATATTTGTATAGTTAGCACTAGCAATAGTTAGCTAAAATGTAATTTATTTAAAGAGACTTTTGATAAATCTGATAAACTTTTGATAAGGAGCTATAACACATAACACAGACGCCAATTAAATCCGATATTATGATAGAATAAAAGGTAAAAACTGAGTAGAGTGCATAAATGCTCAGTGTTTAAATACTAAATACTGATCAGATTAAATTATATCAACAGATTTGCATTGCTGTTGCATAGTTGTCTCTAGTTTTTTGTTTATTTAAAAGGATCCCAATTAGTTGAGACGTCAACTCGGGTCCAGGCAATAAAATATCAAATCAAGCATTAGAACAAAAAACAACAACAAAAACACAACAAAAATAATAGAAATAATAGTAGAAATACATAGAAAAATACATAGAAGATAATACATAGAAATATATAAAGAATAATACATAGAATAATATATTATAGCATAATACAGTGGTTCTCAAACTGGGGCTTTGGACCCCCATGGAGGTCCCAAGATGATTTCAGGGGGTCGCCAAATCATTGTATAAAAAAAATAATAATAATAAAATAAAGCATACATTTCTCAAATAAATTTGTAGTAGGGCTGTCAAAATTAAAACTGTATACTTCTTCCCACTCCTTTTTTTGAACAAATATTATGATTTGATTATGCGATATTATTCTGCTTTTTCTTGCTGTTTTTAAAATTATTTTCTTTTCCCTTTCATGTGTTCGAAATAAATTCAATTCATTCATTCATTCAAAAGAAAATTAATGTAAAGAGAATAATCTGTGGACTTAACACATTAATTTTTAACACATTAATCCATGAACAACAAAGTTATTACTCATGAGATATTAAGAATTCTAATTCTGGGGTCACGAACACAAACTTATGTTATCTTGGGGGTCGTGGCTCAAAAAGTTTGAGCACCGCTGGTATAATACATAACATAATATACAATAACACATAAAACAATACATAGAAGTCTTCATGAGTGGGATGACGAGCTTTTACAGGATGAATCATTCAGTGGATATAATGAAAATACCGCGATCCACAGGTTCAGTCCTCTTTTAATCTGAAAACATTTATAGTATGACACAAAATGTGTAAATAACAGGATTGCAATAATAGAATATCCTACTGAAGTCAAAGCATGAACTGTCAGTCTCAACGTTTGAGCCAATTCGTCTGAGAAAAGTAAATTTTTAAAAAGTTATTTAAACATCTGCAGTTCTGTGACAACTGGGCGGACTGGAGGACTAACAGCTCCTGAGCAGCTCGTCCAGTCACGCTCCTGCATGACAAATCCTACGGAGGTGAAGTATCGGCAGCAAAATGTAATTAAAGAATTAAAGTAAAAGTACTGGTTTGGTTCCTCTGACTAATACGTTATAAGGTGTAGCATCATTATATTATAATTAGTGAATTATCGGTGTGTCAGCAGCAGGTTCCTGGTGGAGCTGCTGCAGGTGGAGCTGCTTTGACCTACTTTATATCCAGCTTCACATACAGGAGCAGCAGACAAAGATAAACAGGAGACCAACTCAGGCTGTCTTCATAGTTTCAGGGCTTTTTCTTAAGTCTTAGGTTTTTGCTGAACTATTGAATCGTTTGAACATCTATTAAAATGAGAATTTTTTAATGGAAAAATTACTATTCAATGGAGACTATCTATGATTGGAAATGTTGGGATGTCAGAAGCCAGGAAGGTTGGAAAGTAACCCCCAAAACAAGAGCACTTTCAGATATATACAGTTCTTCACAACTGTATTAGACCACCTGTCTGATTTGTTAAGCTATATATATGTGTATGAGGTGCTTTAATGTGCTCTCAGCTCTCCACGTTTTAACATTTTGAACAGGAATGAGAAATTTCGAACTGAATTCACCTTTTTATATCCACACCTGAGCCACTGGACGTCTCTGAGAAGTCCGAAATGAATCAAGCATCAACATTGAACCGCTAAAACTACAATTTCTGTTCAGGAATGCAAGTAAATAACTACAATTTGACATCTAAATTAAGTAAATAATAATGTGCGCTACTATTTTTTCAGGTTTTTTTTTGTAAAACGGTGAATTTAAAGAGTCATGGATAACAATAGTAATTATATTTTAGCATTTTGGTTAAAGAGCTTCCTCATACTGGTGTATTAACCATTATAAAAAAGAAAACACATAACACAAGATAGAAATAAAATCAAATAAATCCACTATACATGAAATAAAACTGAGACTGCTCATAAATACTATAAACTGTTAAAGTGCCCTGTACGTAAAATAGATATTATACTGTACCTGATATAACGAACTATAGCAACTAAAACTGTTAAATAAATGTAGTTAAATAAAACATACATTATTTATCTTTGATATGAAGTCGAGTGGGAGTATAAAACAGCATAAAATGGAAATAGGATGACGTGCAAATACTTTAAAAGTGTACTTAAATGCAGTACTTAGGTAAATTTACTCAGTTACTTTCCACCACTGACCTCAGCTCTACTACAGAATATCAATAATATTTATTAATTACCTATTTACTCTTGCAAAACATATTATTACAACTCGGTGACATATCCCTGATTGCTTTTTTTATTTCCAAACCTCCTTTTCTTGACTGTGTTTGGCTCATAGACTGTACCAGACCTGTGAGCAGTGGCCTACAGTGGCCACCAGGGGGCGCAGTCAGCACACACTTCCTGCTTTACCTCCTGGCTCAGAGGACATTTAGCAAATTATAACTCCAGCAGTGGACTCAATTAACTCAACCCCATCATTTAATTTATATTGGACCACCGCATTTCCCATTTCATGATAACCTGGTAATCATTTGTTTAGCTCGCAGCTAAAATTAGGAAAATTAATAGTTTAGGTGGTATCTTAAATACCAGTGTTGTTACAGCTATAAGGAAACACTCAGGCCAGATTGTGCTTTAAGAGAAACTAATTCAGTTTAATTATAAACGCTGTGAAATGCAGATTAAATCAAACATCTTGTTGGATGTTGGAGGCTTTGAAGCGCCACGTCTGGTGTACAAACTACACATTTCCATACTGGCGCTCAAACGGCGTCGGGCCCGCGCAGGTGTGGCTCTCAGGCTCGTGCCCGCCACCCCTCCCCCCTCCAGCTACAAACTACAAACCCTGGCGGCGCGCTCCCGTCAACTAATTCATTGTATCAGATTGAGACGGGAGGAAGCAGCAGCAGCAGCAGCGAGCGACTCGGCTGGTCGGCGAAGCAACTCTGCTCCGAGAAAACGCTGAAAAAACCCGACTGCTCGGCACATAAACTGAAGGTAAAACTACTTTCCAAAACACCCCGACGGTCGCTAAGTCTTTTATCTTTCGTATTACTCAAGTTTAAAACTAGACAGGGTGATTTTTTTAAAAGTTGTGCGGCGGTTGGAGAGGCCGAGCTATAAAGCGAAGCTAAAAGCTAGCGCGGTTAGCCGACGGTAGCTAAGTTAGCTTTTCTCTCCCCTCCGACCTCAATTTTTTTTTTTTTTAGTGCCTCCTTCCGCAGTTACCGCACAGTTGGGCTGAAGCGATAACTGCTGTTCGCTTCTCGTAGAGACTCCGGTGACCGAAACACGAGCGGTTAAGACTCTACCGAGGGCTGTTGGGAAACTGTGCAAACTTAGCAAAGGCTTATAAACTGAAGCTGAGAGACTGGCCTAGATCGGCGAGCCGTCACCAAACAATGAGGCGCTTTTTCCTGACTTGCCTGCTGGCTGGTCAGGCGGCTTCACAGCGGCTCTTCTTCAGCCTCTACAAGAGAAGCTGCCGGTTAGATTACGATATGTGAACATCGCAAGGAACAAATGAACCAGCTGTGTACTTAATTTAAACACTAAACACGCCTTTTATTCGTGGTTTTGTTGCGTTTTCGGTACATGCCATTTACAATAGGATATACGGTTTCAAGTTTGGGAAGTTTCACAATTTCTAATGGGTCGTTTTCTCGTTAGCAGCTGAGGAGTGTAATGTATATTTTGTGCGGGTCTCGCTCGGTGTTTAGTTTAGTTTGGATGTGGGCCACCCACCCATTCTTCCACTGCGGACACACTAGCCATCTGTTGCCTCTGTGATGACGCCATCTTTCTGGTGACCCACCCAGTGGCTAGCTGCTGGTTTAAAAAAAAAAAGAAGTGTTTGGTTTGACACTGGGAACTCTCACAGCAAAACACACAACTTTTTCTGTGCCTTGGCTACAGAGGATAGCAGATCACACAAAATAGAAATCGGCTTCCTAACCATGACTATAGTAGATGGCCACCAAGGGCTTTGTGGTGCTGCCAAAAGATCTTAAACCTTGTTTTTATGATTTGTGGTTATTGTTGATGTCAGAATCAGCGTCTGGAGTTGGTGTCTTGTTAGGATGTAAGTCCAAACTGGAGCTGTGGCATACTCTTAGGGAGAAATGGCTGAGATGTACATGATCGTCAGGCATTTCTTGTTCATTTGTCTTTGACTCATGTTAAACCGTATTCATGTGATGCAGGAAAAGAGCACTTTTAAGCTGTACAACAATAACCAAAACCATAGATTCAGACATGTAGCACAGCATCAACATATTCCAAACCAGAGTCTGAAAAGGGGCGTGCTATTGCAATAATAAATGCACATTTTTATTTCTGCCACTATACCAAACCTCCGGAGGAGCATTCATGCCATCAGAAGGTACTATAGCTCGTTTTGCAGCGCATGAGGAGGCATGGGAGGGGGCGAGCAGGGTTTTATTGCCAGTTTTACACACTGTCACCCTTGAAGCTGTTAACTAAATTCATATCCTCTCCTCCGCTGCGGTGGAGGGAGATGATAGCGACCGATCAGTGTCCCATTTAAACAGCCAATTAATAAGCCTGGTCAGAAAAATCTCCCACTGGTAAAGCTTCTTACTCGTACGTGTACCGCCGCACAGAACGTGTATGTGGGGAAAGAAAAGCACGAGGCTGAAGACAAAGAGATGCTTACAGTTGGCTAGAAATTGTATGATGCTCAGTGGTAACACTTATGTAAGCTTATTAAGTACAATTAGATTTGCTTGTTGTGTTGAAAATTTTCCATAAGAGGTTTGTGCCAAAGAAAGGCTCAGTTTCTCCTGATCAGAGTGAACATTTTGTAATGATGTTATGGTATTTTAAGTGTTTCTCAGCACTATATTCCTGCTCAATGTAGTCTTAATTGTATATTTAGTTAGGCTAATCAACCGGTTTGGTATTGGTGATGAGGAGATGAGCGTCAAAACATAAATTATGGTGCTAATTAACAAGGATCTGTTGTTTTGAAGCTTTGAAGTTGACATTAATGATTATTCTGGTGGCTTGAATGGATCTTGACGTGAGCTTCTTTCAATGAGAAGATTCAGTGATTCAATTAGCAAAGCGATCAATATGGCTGGATATCGACGTTTTGAGTCCAGAATTGCTTTGAATAATTCTTGATGATTCACTTCCATCAGATAAATGCCAGTGAAGCCTGAACCACTTGTCAGAATTTGTCACAGGAAAAAAAAAAGATGCCCAATAAGTCAGTTAGAGAAACTTTTTGTGAACACATTTTGTGGTTCTAAAAGTGTGGACATCATCATCATCGTGCGTTTTGTAAAAATAAATGCGTATGACTTTAAGCCCGGACAGGGAAAAACCGAAAGTCTTGGTGATGATTCATCGACACGTCAGCCTGTTATTTGCAGACAACTGGCTAGCTAGCTTCTTCTACCATCAGTGTCTACGCTGTTGAATCAACTTCCTCAACTTCATACCTCATAGCCGGAGATAGCGTCTCGTCGACAAACAAACAAGACCTAAAATTAGAGTGTTGAGTCTTTATCCTTTGTCTGCCCCTCACATAGATGCAATCTGTAGATTGGCTGCGAGATAGCCAGTCAGTTAATCAGTCAGACAGACCAGGGAACTAATTACATCACATTTTTTTGGACAGTCGTGGCCAAGGGGAACAAATACACCCAGCTATCATGTACTGTAATTTTCAACTTAGAATAACTGTGCATATTTTCATTATTTATTTTACACATCATGCAGCCCTAAGCGAACTACTTACAAGTAGCCGCTGCATCTACATGACATTTACCCTTTTAAAAACAGCCTCAAGATGTTAAGATTTCATAGTGGATCATTCAGTTATTCCTTTTGATCCAGTTCTTCTGGTCAAATCAGTTAACTCTTCAATTCAAGATCCTTACAGCTGCCATTAACAACATGTAGGTGAGACCTGCACCGACCACACTCGATAAACGAGATATTTTTCTTACTGTATTTGTTGCAATTTGTATGTGCAGCGCAGAGGGGTTAAAATAATTATTCCCTGTTCCCTTCACAGTAATGGAATTATTCAAAATACTGTCGCCCACAGAAACGCTTGTCAGGTGGCAGAAGAAAGGCACCTGCCAAGTTTCTGTCAGAAACTGAAATATTTATCAGCCAGCAGTCAGTTAACCATCCTTAAGCTGCGGCTAATTTTCCGCCGTGAAGATTGCGTGGGGGTATTTCCTGCCAAAAACGCACACACACACGCGCGTTTAGATGTAACTGTGTGGGGTTTTCTAAAGGACAGTGTAATGAATCATCAGGTACACAGCAACCACTTTTAATAACACATTTACAGCTGCGTCATGCAAGGTAAAAATGCCTAATGAATAGGGTTTCGTTAAACACTTGATCGATCAGAGAAAACGGCCACAGAATGGTTTTTGTGTTTGTCGAAAAGCGGTTGTGTGGATATGAGTGGGTTTGACAAGCAGGCGTGCTGTCAGAAATACTGACTATTTGAGTCTGATAGGATGACAGCCTACACGGTTTATCACGCTGGTTATTTAACAGTCCAAAGGAAAGGCTTGATTGAGAGACAAAGCCTTTGAAGTGCTGTCTTTGTTGAAAGATTGTGTGGAGTTTTGAAAAATCTAACCAAAATTAGCGTTTGGGGAAAAGAGCACAACCAGAGAAAATATGAAGGTGTCAAACGTTCCTGTCTGGAAAGTTGGTTGATGAAGAGAATCGCAAAACTGAGGAGACGGTTTTAGCCCTGCCACCAGCCGCCGTCCTCCGCCGCCGCCGATGGTGTTTATCACGGGAGTGTTTCCTGTTGCTCCCTCTGTTAATTTGATCCTGTCGGGGTTATCCACGTCTCTCCTCTTATCCGTTGTTTGTCTGTCTCTTTTAATTTCATCTCATGGTCTCTTGTTGGCTAGCATGCAGATGGGGCGGGGTTCTGCACGTGTGGCCTGTTCCTTATTATCTGACGGGATTATAATTGATCAGGGGAGTGCATCTGATGTGGTTTGTTGTTACTGCGTCCATCAGCACAGCTTGCATAAGCTGCCTCTCCTCTCCCAGGTGCACATGAACATTAAAAAAAAAATAAAAAATGGATGCACCAGGAAAGACAGTTTGGACATCAACCATATATGAGGTTGTCAGGTGTCTGTATTTTGGGGTTACAACACTTCCAAGCGTGTTTAAATTTAGCATGGCCATGAAATCCGTGATGACTGGTCGTTACACCATGCTCGTTCTTTTTTTTATTACCTCCTTTTCATGCCTAGTTTAAAGGTGGCCGCCTCTCTATGGCTTCTCAGAAGTCTGAAGGTCACAGTGTGTTTGTTCACATTGGGCAGGTACTGGACGGGCAGTGTGGCCGTAAGAGGAAATGTCATGCGTCTGAAATCCCCTTTATGGCATTAAGAGAAAGGAAAAGGTTTGGCCTTAGTGGCATTATAACGAGTGAGAGTTTTCATTTTGTTTTTACTTAATGTGCAAGAGAGGGTAGAAAGTGAAGGGTTTTAGCCATTATTCGTACTGTGTTTATGAGTGGAAGCTGAATAACAAAATATTTCCATTTGCCATTACTTCTTTCACATTCCTAAGAATTATTCCCAAACAAAAAAAGTTTAGACTTTATTTGTTCTTTGTTAAGGCTACCTTATTGATAGCTTGTTTATCTGAGCTTGTACGGTTCATCCATAGCTGATGGTTCAGAGAAATATCCAATTTGCTGTTTGTTTAGCTGGAAGTGAGCGTCTGTCGTGTACCAGTCACACAAACATAAACTCTCATCATGACTACCTTTGTACATTGGTTGTGCTGTAACTGTTGTATTGAGGTGCACCAATGCCTTTTGATGAACTTTTTTTTGTCAGTTTCCGTTCATGTTGGTTATTTCTGAACACATTGCTTAAGTGATTGTGAACAGGAACAAATCTATAAATCAGTATTTTGTACATTCGATGCGTTCTTTTATAAAAGGATGATCTTCGTCTTGAAGTCATATTATAAGCAGTCTTTTATTGTTATGTGTGACTCATCGTTGCTTTGTTTTGTCACTGTCTGGTACCGAAACACTGCAGCAGGGAGGGCTGCTCTGCTGGACATCTGACACAAGACAAGTTTCTTGCAGAAAATGTTTGTTTCTAACATTTCAGTCGGAACATTGATGCTCCGAGAGCAAAAATTGTTTGCAACAATCCTTTGGCCACAATAAATGTGGTACGTAGTGTTGGCCATTTCATCATATCTCAGTGTAGAGATTCATGCAGTTTTAAGGGGAGAGTGTATCCCAGGTGGTTGTTTTAAGCTAAAAAATTACAGATGCCCCTATAAAACCTCTTGTGCATGCTGTGGACAGCTGCAACAATTTGCTGATGTACTCTTAACACCTTGCATTCATTAGTAGATGCTGCAATATACGGATGTTACCTAAGTGCCTCTAATTCAGCAGTATGTGCGAGTGAAGCAGCTGTGTACTGAGAAGCCTCTAGTCCCTGCTCAGTTACTGCAGCACACACAACTCAAGGCGTTTATAATGAAAGATTTACTTCATTTTAAACAAATTTTACTTACCTGACACGCACACAGACGGACCTGCTAAATGTCTGATGGCCATGTTTAGTCGCACTTTGCTTTCATTCAGCTTAAGGCGCTCTGCAGAACCACAAACCCCTGTGCCTTAGCCCTTCTGTGGTTGGGAAAACCCTGCTCCAGCGATGGTGTCGATGAATTTTCCTGCTACACATTCCCTCGACACAAGAGTCGAGACACAATATTGTTGGTAGTTAATGGGCATTTTCCTGTTATGGCGCCGTTATCCACATCGTGCTCTTCCTTGTTGTGTTTTGTCTTGATTGTGTGCGATGTGTTTTCCTGCAAGGAAAAGGTTTACATACTAACATGGAAATGTGTTGTCTACTGCTCAGATTGATACCTAGAAACTACTATTACCAGTATCAAGACTTCTATTGACTGCGAAGCACAGCTAGTAGCTTCAATAGCTTGCTGACAGACACCAAGGAGGCATTTGCTAAGTGGAGGGCACGTACCCGTTTTACCCACTGGTCGAATGCTTCTGCCATTGACCACGCTCCCTCCTCTAGGCTACAGCTGCCCCCGTTTTTTGTATTTTGCTTTTTCCTCGAGCCATAGAGGGAATGGTCTGATCTTTTTTGACACTGCTGTCCTACTTAGAGTATTCATCTACCATTTATAGGATGCTCGCAGCACCTCACAGGGCTCTGGTGCTTCTCAGAGTCAGAAACTAATGGGACTCGAGCCAAAAAAGAAACAGACTGAAATCTGTTTTAAGTGACAAAGAGTATTAATGTGCATTTGTCTGTATTTTAATTGACCTGGTGAGTTAATGGGCAAGCAGATGTGTTCTGTGGGGATGGCCATGTGTGCTGCGCTTTAAGGAAACGCTTTTTTTTTTTTTATCAGAAAGGTGCAGAATATGCTGCCAGAAAATGTAGGCAGCATGTAGTTCAAAGTGTCTGAAAATGCCAGTCACGTACAAATAGCTGCATGGACAAAATATAACATCTCAAGAGGAAGGAAGACAAACAGTTTGTGGCGAAAGACGGTGTTCGTCTACAGTTTTTGGCTTAAGAAAGATGGAACACATTTCAGTAGTGCAGTCATTTTTTTTTCTTTTTACAGGCTCTCCAAAACAACCTTGACACCCCAAAATTAAAAAATCAAAGGGGCCAAAGTGATACAGGGAATTTCTGTGTTACAACTCAAGAGACCAAAGCCTTGTCTCAGCTGATGGATTTAGAGATAACGGCAGATGTGCGTGGAGTTTGCCCTCCACCTGCCTCGCTGTGATGGAGATAGCAGGGCAGAGCGGCATGATTGACACCGCTGCACCCTCTCAAACCAGGGAAAGAAATTAACCATTCAGGGATGTGATTTATTACCCCCCTGCTAAGTGAAGACCCGTTGTCCTTGTGCGGTTAGTAAGCACACAAAACGTGTCCTGTGCGGGTGTGAAAGTCACGTCTCTGCAGCAGTGCCACCGTGACAAATGAGGTGATGTGAATTGTTCCTGTACGTCCACACCCAGCACGCAGCTTCTGAGCATGTATGAAGGGAAATAGCTTTTTTCCTGTTGCAGTGTTTCGATCAAACTCCTAATTCTGACTGTTTGTACACCAGTAAATAATAAATAATTCCAACGGCTGTGGGGTGTGTTCTGTAAAAAACAAATCCGCAGCATTTTCACTTAGTTCCTGAATATGAAATTCTGCTGAATGCTGTTTCCCAATACGTTTGATCCAAGCTGCTCTGAGCCAACAGCACAAGACTGAGTGTCACACAGTCGCACCAACTTCCCTTAACTTGGTTGGGCAAGCTTGTTCTTACACCTACACTGATCGCTCTTGCGGTCATAAATTACTGGAACCTAAGCTAAAATTTACTTCCTGGAAGCTCGTATCTTGTGGCGCTGCGCTGTGCTCTTAGACGCCTTTATGTCGGCGCCTGTTTGCGTACGTGTAAAGGCAAAACTGGACCCTGACCGACCCTTTTTTGGGACAATCTTAAAACTGTACCCTTTACCAATTGTGATCTTCTTATCCTGGTGTTGGCAAACCAAACATAAAACTGTGCACACACCTGTACAAGTCTCCTGAAGTCTTTGCAATGTCAAGTTTTGACAGATTTCTCATTGACAAGGGTTAAAATATGCAGTTTTTAAAAAATAAATAAAGCTAGCTGTACTTCTTGTGCCTGTCATTCAGCTTTTGACTTGCAGGAAGCATCCGTGACTTGTTTTGCACATAACGTCCACGGCCTTTTTGTCGAACAAAACCTCCAAATATGAGGAGAATTCTGCAATATTAAATAAGCCTGAAGGTTCGAAAGCCATCCTTATTTCAAAGAAAAGCATTAATCACAGATATGAAAACCATTACATTTCTGTCTCTGAGATTTTTTTTTTTCAGACTTCATTAATCATCTCAAAACCCCCTGAAGGTCTCTGAACCTCAGGTTGAGAGGCTGCTTTGCCAGCTATGTATGTGTTGCATGGTGCACCTGCACTATGCAGCACTACATACCACAAATGTCACACATCACTTTCATATTTGTTTTTGTCTTGATGCTGCAAATGGACTCTTAGCCACGTCACACATATTGTATTTGTGCACAGGATAGTTTGTGTCCTCCTTTCTCCTCCTCCTCCTCGTCGTTGCATTCATGGACGGCTTGGGGCAGTCAGATGCTCTAATGATTATACTTCATGTCAGGATTTTCTCGTGGCGCCGTGATCATAACCTTTGTTTCCTCTCTCTTCCACCAGGGATGGCAGCCATCCGTAAGAAGCTGGTGATAGTGGGGGATGGAGCTTGTGGGAAGACATGTCTCCTGATCGTCTTCAGCAAGGACCAGTTCCCCGAGGTCTACGTCCCCACCGTGTTCGAGAACTACGTCGCCGACATTGAGGTTGATAGCAAACAGGTGAGACGGCTGACGAACGCTAACAGTCTTTACAGTTTAAGGTCATGTCGGAGGGCTGTTATCCCACCTGGATGAGTGACTGTTGGTTAGCAAATACCACTCACTGACTCAAAGCTGAATATTTTAAATAAATAAAACGCGATCCAATCTGCTTGTTCCCTAAATGTCACAGCACATCCCGGCCTCCTTTAGTCTCTGCGGTGGTGTTTGCGCTGGTATCAGGGCTAATTTTGTTCTCCGGGTGCTTAATCATGCTCAGCGCTTTAATTCTACCTTCAGGGCCAAGTGAGCAAGTGTTGATAAAACTGTACTGTTCCGTTTTCACATCTCCCCATCACGTTGCAGCAGTCATCTGCTCGGTCTGGTCTCTTTCTACAGACTTGCCTCTGCTGAGCTTAGTCACAGCGCTTCTCAAAGTGTTCTGAAGTATTGCGCTAGATGTGTTTTATATAAAATAAATCATACGGCGTTCAGTCGATTTGTGGCTATACTTAGAAGCAGATCGAGTTAAAGTTGTGATTTCTAGGCCCTCGATGCTCTCTATGTGTGCTTCTTTTTTTTGGGTAACTGTGACACTCAGCCTCCTTCATCAGTCACAAACCCACAAGTCCTGACCTCATTCTGGGTTAATGGGATTCTGGGACGTCGACTCTTTTTTAATTTTTTTTTATTGGCTCGATGCTTTCTAACCCCCTGTGCTGCTGCTCAGGAGGACTTCTAAAGTGTCACACTTTCCTAAATGTCTTGATCCAGTTTCCTTGCCTTATTTAGCCTGGTGGCGCGTTCACAGATGATTTCATATGTCACAGTCATGCAGCGTATTGTCTCAGAGATTAATGGCCACGCTCTTCAGTCGGCATATATGAGTAAATACAACTTGTACAGGATTTTTTTCTTCTTCTTTCAGTCGCACATTTGACGCGTGCAATAAATGAGTCACCTGTCATTCCCGCTATCAGCTGAAACTGTTGGCAGCTTATGTAATTGTTCACCTCTGCACTGACACGTCTTTGTGTTTGTGAGATGATTTCAGGATCAGATCTTAACAAGGTTGAGGTTCAGTTGTCCGAACTGTTTGATGGCAGCTGACTGACGCCATCTTCCTAACAAGCTAGGATGTTATTTTTATATGATGGGACAGAATTTCCTCCTGGGACATCAGTAAATGTATAAAATAAAACAAATAAACCTGCTAAGTTGGGATTTAAATACAGAAAATTTGACTTTACAGGGAGTAGAAAAAGTCAGGTTTTTGATTCCTTACCACAGTGCTGCTCAAAGAGAGCTTGGATTTATTGGGTTCTTTGTGTAAAATTTGTAAGATCTTCACCTTATTATGTGAAATGCTGCGAGATGATACATGTTGTGAATTGGTGCTATATAAAAAAAAAAAAAAGCTGAATTGAATCCAGACTTGCTGAGCAGTTTGATTTAAATTGAAAAACACTAATGAGTGAAAAATGGCCGGCTACAGCAAAAAAAAAAAAAAGCCCAGAAGCTGCTTGAAGCTCACAGTATTAATAATCCAGGACCACTGTAGGGTAGCAACAATATATTAGCATATTCTACCTACAAATCCACATGTTTAAGTCTTCTGTGTCCCAGTTTTTTGCTTGTGTTCAGAAGTAGTTCCGCCCTTGATCTTGTTTGTTTGCTGGCCTCGACAACTAAGTCGTGTTGATTAGACTTAACATGGTGTGATAACTTCTTTCTTGTTCCTCTTTCCTCAAACCCCTTTCCCTCCGTCCCTCTGTTCTCCTAACGTCAGGTGGAGTTGGCTCTCTGGGACACGGCGGGTCAGGAGGACTACGACAGGCTGAGGCCTCTCTCCTATCCAGACACTGACGTCATCCTCATGTGCTTCTCCATAGACAGCCCCGACAGCTTGGGTGAGGGCAAACCACACACTCATGCATGACAACACGTCTCGGTCTTTCCTATGCGCCCTCCCCCCCCCACACCACCACCACCTCTTTCTTTCCGTTTTTCATGTGAAGTTATTTGTGGGGTCTGTAGATGGTGTGAGAGTTGATGCCACTTGCAGGGGGAACTGCTCACTCACACTGAAACACGTCATTTGTCATGCAGCGGCATGCGGTCGCGCTGTACAACAACTTCACGCCTGTTCTCCCGTAATGATTATGAACGGCACTTCTCTCATCATATGGAGACGGCTTTACATAAAGTACGGCCATAAAAGCGGCAGAACATTAAACTGCCACACATGAATTAAGTAAAATCAAATGAGAGCTAATTGTAGTAAAACATAAGCTCGTTGTGCTGCAGAGAGTCATTCATAGCTGCTTTATGTGACCGTTCTTCATGCGTTTCTGTTCAGAGCTGCGTTTTTTGCTGACAAAGATTTTTTTTAGCACTTGATGCCGACTGAAGATAAGGAAGCTCTTCTCCCCTCAGAAGCAGAGTTACAGTAAATTTACATAGAACTGTTAAACGAATCAGACTGCTGCCGTCCTCTGATTGGACAAAATTAAACATGAGCTCAACTGCAGTGACATTGAATAGATTATTTTTTTTGGCAGAGGTTCCTTTTTGTGGTTTTTCAGTTGTAATGTGACGAAATGGAATCAACTTTTCCTGTGAATTTGTGGCATTATTTACTGAAGAATTCTTGTTTTTTTTCCAAACACTGAAACATACAGTCACTAAAAGTAAAGATCGTTCCATTACCAGAAGATCTGAAGGAGATTTGTGTGTCACATGTAGCACTTAAAAATATGTGAATAGTGGTTAAAGAGTGGTGGATGCCATCGCTACAGGTTGGGAAAAGTTTAAATATATTAAAGACTCACTTCCCCTATATCAAATTGGACTTTAAGTTGAATTTTAGCCTGACAGCTACACACACAAATAAATGAAGATTATGTCCAAGGAATATTGATTGAATTTGGTCTTTTCTCCATCACAGAAAACATTCCAGAGAAGTGGACCCCAGAGGTGAAACACTTCTGTCCAAACGTTCCCATCATCCTGGTAGGAAACAAGAAAGACCTGCGCAACGATGAGCACACACGCCGAGAGCTGGCCAAGATGAAACAGGTACCTCCTCCTTTTATTTATGTCAAATTGTTTAGCACGTGTTTCGTTACGATATGATACTGTAAGCCTTTATTAGTCCCACAATGGGGAAAGCTGCTTTATTACAGCAGCAAGAGGATAGTGCAAACATAAAAATAAACCCAAAATTACAGATAAATACTCATTTCATATTTGGATATTCAGCTTGTCTCAATTTTTGGATGTGGAAATATCAATATTACATATCACTGGTTTAGTGTAGATTCTTTCATGAGTAGAAATACTGATACAGAAGTACTAGTACTGCACAGATTTGTCTGTTAGTTAAACAATACTTAAATGTACAAAATATTCATATTGCACAACTTGGGGTGTTCTGCTCTATTAGTTCTTTCATGTACTGGTAACGTGTTCCTCATCCAAACTCCTGTGTTTTTTCCCTCCTATAGGAGCCGGTGAAGTCAGAGGAAGGCCGGGAGATGGCCGGACGGATCGCGGCGTTCGGCTACATGGAGTGCTCCGCCAAGACCAAGGACGGCGTGCGGGAGGTGTTCGAGATGGCCACCAGGGCGGCGCTGCAGGCCCGCCGCGGAAAGAAGAGCAATAAATGTGTACTGCTGTAAAATGGCCGACACATTTGGACTGTTTTCACCCCGGGGTCGCGACACCCAGGGGGATAGGGCTCGGGAGGGATTACTAAGACGGGAGAGGGAGGGCGGGAGGGGACGAAAAGAGTGCAGTAAATGACTACCGCTGTAAACTGGCTGTTTGTTGGACTGAATTCAACCCTGGGACTCGGGCTTGGGAAGCTTTTGATGGCGAGGGGGGCAGGGCGGGGCGGGTTAGCGGCCGGACGGGGAAGGAGGGAGCGCAGTACTACCGCTGTAAAGCATCGGGTTCTGGGTTCACCATCAGGGTGGGAATCTTACACCAGCCGCCAGCCCAAACGCTGGTACATTTAGTCTGTTCAACAAGCCACTTACACTGATAACGATCATTAGGAGATCCTGGTCCTTTGTAAAAAAAAAAAGAAAATCTAGCTGATAAGGTTGAGTTCTGGGGTTTTCCAGTGACTGTGTTCAGTACGGACAAGAAAAAAAAAAAAGTTTAGTTTCCTGCCTGGATGACTTGACAGACGCATGGGGCAAACAGACAGCACAGTAAACCAGTACCACTGTAACCGGCCACCAGTGGACTATTTATCCCCAGGTTCTGGCCTGGAATTAGGGCTAGGGTGGAGTTGGACAGGCGAAGGGATGGGAAAGCGCAGCACATGAGAAAACATCCACCAACCCAACGCTTTGCACTTTCATCCAAAAGCAGACGAACCACCAGTGAACTCCTCAAAATGGTGCTTTGAACAGACGCGAGGTTTCGTAGCCTTTTGCTTTAGTTGTCATCCGGCGGGCTAAACGAGTGGTCAGGTGCTCGGGCCCTATGCGTTGTATTATCAGACAGGTGCGCTCACATGTCCAGCTCGGTGCCGTTCAGTCCCTCCTGTGGGTAATCCTGAGCTTACGGACCGACACATGGAGCTCTGAGGTAATCTGTTGCCGTCAGCTGATGTGGAGTGCTTCATTAATGTGCAGTTTGGAGTTAAACTGTCCTGGTTTTAGGTTAAGTTTGATTCAGATGGCGGACGGTAGATCCTCAGTGGCCGAGCTGGACGCGTGAGCCGCTTCGTCTATTACCTTTGGACTGAATCAGTGGAAGTGGCAGGCGAATTCGGTAGCTTCCTGCCCTGCTAGGCAAAAAACCCCAAAACAAACCGCCGCGGCTCGACTCCCATCCCTCCCTGGTCCACATAGCCGACTGCTGGTGCTCATCTTCCCCCTGGTTTCAGAGCAGGACGAAGAACAAGGAGGAGAGAGTGTTTGTTTACACGCACACCACGGATCTCCTTACCTGGGACTATGAATATTATGTGTGTGTGTAGGCATGTATAAAGGTCAAATGTACCAAAAAGTAGTTGAGGTAAAAGGTGCCTGGGATATTCCATCATCTACACGTTTGCCTTTTCCCGGTGGCTGCTACAAACTTTTAACACGTGACCTTTTTAATCCTGTGTGTGAAAATGCCAGATTTGTCAGGATGGATTTTGTACAGAAGCCTGCAGGTGATCTACGCCGCCGCCGACGCAGTGACGATTAACTACCTGCTGCTCGTCGTGGGGTGTTTTTAGGGTGTTTTCTAAAAGTATATATGTAAAAAAAAATGGCACACGTGTCCAGTCAGTAATCGGGATTTATCAGCCACCAGCCTCTTCCTGACACATCTGCGTATTTTCCCTCTGGGATTCGGACTCTCTTGATTTTTTTTTTTACCCTCCTGTTCTTCCTCCTGGTCTGCAGGGAGGAGCCTGTTCCAGAAACCAGTCTTGTGTTGTTGTTTTTATACATTATTTCCAGCTTTTTTTTTCTTTTTTTTTTTTTTTTAAAGAAGAAAATGTCATAAACATGTCGTCTATCAGTATTTAAAAACAAAAATAGGAGGTGGAAGACTAGGGAATTCTGTGTTGTTGCTTTAGTTTTTCCTGCTTTTGTGCTTTACCTGAGATCTTTTTTCTGATGATTGTAAGGACCCCATCAATCATCCCCTGCCAAATGCTGTCGTTGGGCAGTCAGGAGAAAGGCTGGCCTCTCGGCTGCCCGTCTAGAGCATCACTAGGACCACGAGTGCTGGCTTTTCTTTCTTTTTTCTTTTTTTTTTCTGTTTGTTTGTTTTGGCTGAAAAGACAAAAAAAAAAAAGGAAGAAAGTCTCCTTTTATGTACAAATCATTTTTATTTCTAGTTTTTATTATTGTATTTTTAAAAAATCCTAATTTCAGAAGCAACGATGTAAAACAAAGGAACAGGAAAAAAGAAAAAAAAGCTGTATGCAAAGTCTGTAAATATGAAATGTGGGTTTGTTCATACTAGACTATACACACGCACATGACTGGAAACTGTATTTGTAAACTAGCTTTGGTTTGTGTAATAAATTACTTTCTATAACACCCAGCTTCTATTCATTGCGGTCGGTCTGGAGGCCTGAGAGGAGCTCTTAAGTCAAATCGATGAGCATGTATTATGAATGGAGCTCTTTTGTTTTATGTGCTGGTGGGTTTGTGTCTCCAGGTTACAAGGAGCTCGTTAAACTGAAGAAATTAAACGGTACGAGTTTGAAATTAGCTTCCAGACTTGATTATCGCTTATATTCGGGATGCTCAAGCTGGATTTAGCTCCATACGTTGGAAGTTAAAGCTCTTGCCTGCTGCACTCTGTAAATCTAAACTGTCCTCCCACGTAGATAAATGCTGCAGTCTTCTGTTTACTTTCTAGTTTGACAATTATTCTTTTCACCCCCATCTTCAACCCCCACAAACCCCCGTTTTCTGAGCTCCTAACATCCGCAGCTGACTTTCAAAATGACAAAAAAATGTCTTCCAAGTTTCATTACGACATAAATGAAACTGGTCATTACGGCTGGTAGAAAAAGCAGAAACCAACAACCAGTGTTCCAGCAGCAGCTTCACACTGAGGCCTGGTGCCGCAGAGTGCGTGGGATGCTGAGGTGAGGCAGTTTTCATCCTGTGTGGGATGATGCTGGATGTTGTGGAGTTGAGTAATCGAGAAGCTGTGGAGAGTCGGGGAGCTGCTCTGTGCCCAACAATGCACAGCGTAGTTGTGTAAGGCAGCACGGAGGAGTGGAAGCCCAGGAATAAAACGGATCGACTGCACGGGCAGGACGCTGGCTCACATGGAGCGTACACCCACTTTTGCATAACTTTTCCCGTATGGAAACATGCAGTTTATATTTAGCGTTTAATGCAGCACATACTGAACCCTTAGGTGTCCGGACAGACTAATAAAAAAGGAAATTTTAAGGCTCTGATCTTGACTCAATACTACACAGACCTCATCATTTGCTGGATTACCAGAGCAACAAATGAGCTGAAAACACAACAATCTAACAGAAATGAGGCAAAACAGCCAATCTGACCGGTATCCACAGAAGTAAATCAGTAATTACCTCAAATTAAAATCAAACAAGAACAGAAAGCTTCACCTCCTTCATCGCTGCTCGTCTTTGTTCTTATAAAACACGTAGTTGAGAAGCTGCATTACTTTGCCCAGAGGCACCTTTGGCAGCTCGTACGAGAGCACAGTGTGGTATAGTTGGAGGAGGGAAAAGGATGAAGGATAAAAAAAAAGGTATAGAAAATGGAAGGATGGATAGTGGGAGGAGGTCTCCAACAATGGATTTCAAGAGGTGTAGTGGGCGGATGTGAGAGGAAACGAGCCAAGCTGTGCTTCTCTGACTGAAATAGACTCCCTGTGAAGGCCGACCTTCTTCAGGAAGAGGTCACTTTTTACCTTTACTGTTAAAAAATAATAATAATAAAATGACTGGTTGATGAGCTCTTCCTCCATTTAGGCCATTTTAACTAAATGCTAGCACTTTTAAATATATTTTGTGGGCTTTTGCCTTTATTTTAGAGCAGTGGAGAGAGTCAGGAAAGTAGGGAGAAGAATGTGGAGAGATCTGCAGCAAAGGGTTGGGAGTCAAACCCACGACCGCTCGATGGGAAACTATAGCCTCTATTTATGGGTCAACTAGGTGAGCTATGGGGCACCCAAATGCTCGCACTTGTGTCAGGTTTGGAAAGGAACTATTGCACTCTGGCTCCAGCTGTCATAAACTGTTGCACTCTGACGACATTATAGAGAAGTTAGTTGACACTACGATGTGTACCAGTGATAGACACAAAGTTCAACACAACGCCCAGCGTGCTCACTCCTCTGTACAGGTTTCCTGAGGTGTGCTTGTCTGTGGCCTCTCGTTAGCTCTTTCTGTGCCCAGGCAGGGACCGGTATCTGGCCTTCAAAGACCTTGAGTCCCCAACGTAAGCGACGCACTCTCAGCAGCCTGCTTCGATATAGTCCGAGTCCACAGGATTTGTCGCTTCAACACTTCCCATTCATTGTCCTCCAATGCTTTCTGGTAGGTCGCTCTGCATCGCCCGCTACTCATTTGCATAAAGTTGAGGCTACTTTATGAAAATGAGGAGCAACTTTCAAAGAACTCCTAAAAAGTTGTTTATCCAAAACGAGGACAGAATCAGCAGATTATTTCTCGCTTCAAATGTTTTCAGGAACACTTTTCGCTGAACTAACTAATAAAAGATCATGTTTTCTGAGCGAGCTGCCATGTTGGTCCAACTCATGTGGACACGCACCATGAAGGCTGACAGACTTGATGTTTTTTGCTGGGCCAGTGCAGGATCCCCGTCTCCAGAAATCTAGTCAAGACCAGCTGCTAGAACCCTTCACCTCCAGCCGCCCTCCACGTACCTCCAGGTTTTACTTATATTCTTGATTTAATAAAGCTGAGATCATTTGGGGGCTGCAAGGTGGGACGGTGGTTAGCACCATTGCCTCACGGCTAGAAGATCCCCGGTTCGTGTCCCGGTTAGGACACCCGGATCTTTCTGCGTGGAGTTTGCATGTTCTCCCCATGCTGTGTGGGTTCTCTCTGGGTTCTCCGACTTCCTCCCAGAAGGTCCAAAAACATGTTGAGGTTAATTGGTGATTACTGCCTTCACCCTGAGTCGGCTGGGACAGATGTGGTGTATAGATGAGTGATGGATGTCATTTATTTTCACCTATTTTTGTCTTCCAGTGATGTGTGTTTTGTTCTCTTGTGCTTGTTTGTCTGTTCTCTATCTGCTATCCTGTTGTTGTCTCACCATTTCATCGCCCTAACCAGTCGAGGCAGACTGCTGCCTTCCTTAAACCTGGTTCTGTCTGAGTTATTTTTTTGTTTTTTGCAAAGTGCTTGCTCAGATGGAATCCAATGGAAACTTTGAATTTGTCGGGTTTCTCAGCATAAACATCAAAAGTTCCCTAATTTGGCAAAAATAAAAAATAAAACTGAATTGTGTTAACATTAAAAAACTCTGTGCATCCAGTATAGAGTCATAATTTAATGCACGGTGCTTAAATTTAACATTTCTCCTGGTTTCTATTTAAAAGGCTCATTCAATAGGATCTACAGGCTGGTTAGTGACATCAAACATTTTCATTTTTCAGCTTCATCAACCAGCTCTGATAGAAATCTGTGTCAGGAAACCATGAAAACAGATCAGTAGGTTTTCACTGGGAAAAACAACAACTTGTAGGAACCACAGTATGAAGCAGCATCTACAGAGAGAGACCAACAAAGACCACCACGGCCTTTACTGGTTAAAACACCTCCTCATGTGTTCTCTCTACAAAGACACGCTGAGCACAGAAACCCAAGAGTGAAAAAAGGAAGGAAGGAAGGAAGGAAGCTCGTCACTGGCTGCTCCACCCTGAGCCGGTGGCCGGGCATCATGTAAGACAAACCGCCGCCTCTGGTGCAACACTTGTGGAGGAATGAGCTGCAGGGAGGGAGCGGAGGGTGACGGCGCTCCTCCTCTCCTCTCCTCCTCTCCCCTGCCTCCCCTCCTGCTCCTCCGCCGGCCGGCCGTGCAGGACTAGCACACGCCGCTGCTCCACCGCCGGCTTTATATACGCCTCTATTTTTAGACACGAGCGAGCCCAACTATTTTTAACCAATATGAGCTCATTGCCCGCCCGGACCGTCCAATGGGATGAGAGGGAGCGGAGGGGAGCCGTCCAATGGGAGGCCGGGAACAGGGAGCGGGGGCGGGTTACACAAGAGCGTGTTATCTGCAGAGGAGCAGGGACGGGAGGAGGAGGAGGAGGTCTCACTCCGCTGCTTTGTCAGGAGACCAACGAGTTTTCAGGGCAGAAACACGCTGCTGCAACTCCAAGAAAAAAAAATCTTACTGCTCAAAATTGTGTTTCTGGTTTTGGGCTTATTGTAGCTTCGATTTTGTCTGATTTGATTTTCAGATTTTAGAGAAACAGATGAGAACAATTAGCAACAGGAGTCATACCTGAGATTTAAAGGAGATAATTTCCAACCATAACTAATGGCTCCATTTTTATTCTCAGTTGAGCTTCATGTGAGCTGTAGATGCAAATGTATGAACACAAATATACAGTCATGGATGAAAGTGTTGGCACTCTGGATTTTTTTCAGAAAATACACCATTTTTCCCAGAAATGGTTGAAATTCTAAATGTTTTTGGTATACACGTGTTTATTTCCTTTATGTGCATTGGAAAAACACAAAAAAGTGGAATAAAAAAGCAAACATTTACATAATTGTGCACAAAACTGTATGTATGTAGATATATAATAGGTTTGACAAAATATTAGGAATAGCTCTCAATATAATTTAATCCAGTGGTTGTATTATGTTCATATAAAATAAAGTTCATGTACAGCTCACATGTGGGTTCAATTGAGAAAAAAATGGTGTTTAACCCTATTCAGGACTTTTGGGGTCTGTTGAACCCCAGGTCATTTGGTTTAGGTTACAGCTATTGTTTTTTTTTCATTTTTGAAGATTTTTTTTTTTTTAAATACAAAAAGAGGGATATTTGTCATTCATTTCTAACCAAAAATACGTCAACTTATCAGAAAATGTATTTACCATAGTATGAAAGTCTATAAAAAATACCAACAAGCAACCAATGGATCCAAAAGACCTTCTACATATGGACATATGAAAGTCCTGAATAGGGTTAAGTGTGACTATATGTTGTTAATAGTCCTTCTGTCTCATTTATTCCTCTTTGTGAATTTTAGGAGAAAAAATATGAGAAATAAATCAGATAAAATCCAAAGTAAAACAAGGCTGAAATGATAATCACAGTTTTGTCTCCTCGGCTATAGAGGGGCAAACTTTGGAGCATTAAGATTTTCCTCTGGGTAATAGCAGCTACATGATAAAGGTTTTATTCTAAAAAGCTTAAAACATGACATTTCTGGCTGATAGAATTCAGGCATTTTGTCACTTCTTGGTCATTAAGGTCATTTTAAGAGTTTCAGTAGAAGGCATGTGTCATATGTGTCAATATGTCCAATATTTCATTTTCATTTTATTTTTCAGGTGCAATAG